CCCTCCAAGACAAGCCATTTCAGACCCCTCCCGTGGGAGAACCCTCCAAAACATCGTCCCCAGACCCCCCCAGGCCCTCCAAGATAGCCTGGAAGAGACCCCCCCCGAAATGAGACCCCCCTCCCTTTATTGCGAAATCTGGGGTAGTTCCTTTGGGAGCAGTGGAGCGCGCTTGTCTCAAAAGACGCCTTCCCGTGGAGGCGGAGCGCGGCCATGCAGGAGGACCTGGGCAGCCGCGCGCTGCCGACGCGGACGTGGCAGTGGGGCGGCGGGCAGCTGCGCCTGCCCGAGGCCAGCTGGCGGCCCAGCTGTGAGAGCGGCGTGTGCAGCATGATCGGGCGACCCCCCCCCCACAGGAGCGGAGTTCAGCTGCACGACAACGACGACGGCGACGACGACGGCGACGGCGACGGCGACGGCGATGGCGACGGCGGTGGCGACGGCGGCGGCGGCGACGGTGGCGGCGACGGCGACGGCGGCGGCGGCGGCCGAGGCGCCGGGACCCCCCCCCCCTCAGGAGCGGAGCTTGGCTGCCCTGATACGCACGTGTTGAAACGCAGCACCTGCCGTGTTCAAAACGTCCCAGCCCCCCTCGGGTGGTGAAAAAATCAGCACGGCCGATGTTTATGTTTCGGCCTCTGGAGGCCCTCCGTACCGGCCCTCGGAAACGTCAAAAACGATTCAGGATTCGAGACCTTTGAGGGTGGCTTTTAGAAAAACAAAAAAAAAATGGCGTCGGAGGTTTGGGAACGCGGCACGTGCCGTGGTCAAAACGTCTGCGTCGACACGCCACGTGTTGGCTCCGCACGTGTTGGCCCACGTTTCGGCGAACACATCGCGCCAGACCTATACATCATCTTCAGTCTGCGTGTTGAGCTCCATGTCGGCACGCTGCGGGTGGCGTGCTGCGTACTGGGGCGGCTAAGGAGCGGAGGTTTGGGGGTGTGGCTGTGGGGCGGTGCAGCGAGAGGCTCGCCTTCGGCGCGTCCTCGCCCGAGGCAGGCCGACGGAAGTGAAACGGTGCGGCATGATCGGGTGGCCAAATCCCCCACCACAGGAGCGTGCGGCTTTGGGGCGCTGCAGACGAGGGACTCGCCTTCGGCGCGGCCCCGCCCTCGGTGGTGGGCCGACGGGGACAAGTCGGCGGAGGGCGGCGGAGGTAAAAGTGAGACGGGCGACATTCGGCGGCGAGCGAGACGGCCGACAATGTGTGGGTTCAGGTCCGTCGGCGACCAGATGTGATTGGTCTTTGAGGCCGTTCCTCCGAGCCTCGGGTCTGGGTCGGGGAATCTGCTCGTGGCCATCCTCACCATCATTATCACCATCATCATGATCATCATCACCATCATCAGCCGCATCATCACCGTCATCGTCATCATCATCATCACGTGGTCGCCTGGAATGCCAGGGGCATCTGCTGCTACAAGAACAGGGAGCGGCGCAGCAAACTACACAGACTGGAGCGATTCATGAGGACAGCAGCCATCGTTCTGGCTCCGGCGACTGACGCATGATGTGCGTCAACAACTCGATGTGCCCATCGCATCATCACCGTACCACTACAAGGTCTACCTCTCACATGCAGATGAAGCGCAAGAAAGAGGGATCGCGTTTCTCGTACCCTGGCTCAAAGATTACATTCAAGACCCACGCCCTATGATCTTATTTGAGCAGCTTGTACGTGGGAGGGTGGCTTCGCTCCAGGTCACGCACTCATCCAAGACTTGCAGTACAGTTTGCATGGACGTCCACAGTTACAACCTCACGAACAACGAAGAGCGCATCATCAGCAACAAGTGGCAGCATTGGGTTACATGGATAAATGAGAATATGTTGGAAAGAACTTTCACTGCAATGGGTGATTTCAACATTCGAGATGGTGCCGCTTTTCTTGACGATCAGCCTCTCCCCGATCACGCGCTTCTTCACAAACAACGTACGTACCAAGCGCTTGAGATATTCTGGCGGCAACTTCTTGATATGGTCCATGAGATTCGCTTTGATTTCCCGACGCACTTCAACAGGCAAGAATACACGGCATCGGCCACACACCGAATTTTGCTCAGCACGCCTGAGCATTATTTGATCACCACCGATATACATCATTCTGCGGCAGCGGATCCACTGGAGATGTCTCACTTTCGGTTGAGCGACCACTACATCGCCCTCGTCTCGTTCTGCGCAAAGGTCGGCACCGCCAAGGAATCGTAGCGCATCCCAGAGGTTGCATTCACAGACGAGAGGTACAAGATCATGCTTGACTGGCTCGTACAGGCTGGGGGTCTTGACAGATTCGCGCCAGTCTAGAGTCTAGAGGTGGGAACGCATGGAAGCATTCATGATCGAGGCGGCACGACAGATCAGGCATGAACTTCAGAGGCTGCCCTACCGCTCCAATGACAACAGGGCGAAAGGTGTCCGCGCCATCACACGGTGCAGTATTGCACGGGCAGTTTGGAACAAGGCGACACCTTCCGCCTGCTCTTCCGCTCCTCGCACGCGGCCGAGCTCGAGGCTCTACAGATGAGGGCGGCGCGAGCAGCGCAGGCAGCGCAGCGAGGAGGAGATCTTGCCCCTCTGAAGGCCATGTTCGTCAAATCCATTCCGCCCGCATGAGGGCTTACCTCTGGAAGCCCAGGGGTCGCAGGATGGTCCTAGCAGGCGCTCGCCCAGAACATGCCCCCGAGGCCTTGGAGCCCCCCATCAAGAGAGACCCCGCGGAGATCCAGCAGGACCCGACCGACTTCTGGGACAAGGTTCTCCAGCATGCCTCGGTTGACAAGAGCGCCATCGAGGCGCACCTGGACCGGGTGCGCCCGGCAGGCAGCCCCAGAGACCCCGCTAACGATCCCCAGCATAGAGGACCCCGAAGCCACCCTGAAGCGAGTTGGGCATTCGTTCCCTGGCCCCGGCCCGCTCCCATACAAGGCTTGGATGATCTCAGAGGCCTAGCCCTGGGTCCTCCAGGGCCTCATGCTGCACCTGTTTTCAGGTGCTCACGCCCCTGAGGATCTCAACGGCTCCCTCTTCGCCTTCCTCGCGAGGGGCGACGATGTCCTTGATGCGCGCGAGTGCGTTAGGGAGCTATCCCAGAATAGGCGTTTGTCGCTCCGTCGCGCTGGCTCTAAGATTTGAGGCGTCGCAGCGAACAACAAAATCAAAGCCCTGGTCCAGTCTAGAACCCATGTGGTCCTGCAAAGTGTTGCTCCTGGTCGAAAATTCGTCGGGAACAGAGTTCGACTAGGCAGTACCTCGCGCCGAATGCTATCCATCCGAGTGCCGATGAGCACGCGCCAGTGCGTTCCAAGGCTGCGTTCCCAAAGCTCAGGCCATGACTTGCTGTGGTCCGTTTTAGCTCGCCCGGGCCTCCCTGGAGGCCACTTGCAGTTCATTGCCTCGTTTTTGTTTCGCCCCTCGGCGTTACATGTTCTACGTCCAATCGGGAGTGATGCAGGGTTGCCCTCTGTCAGGCTCGGTCTAGACCTTGGCAATGGACCCTATCTTGAGGCACCTGGTCGAGCAATCGGCCGACCCAAATCTTGGTGAGTTTTGGGGTGAGGCTGGGGGGTACGCGGGTGACACGGGCCTTGCTCAGCCCAGGCTGCAGAACCGCACGAGAATCCTTCTCGTGCCCCGGGAGGCCGCAGAGCTGGCGAAGCTCAGGCTGCGCAGACGGCCAAGACCGTCATAGTACCCCTGTGGACAGAGCTCTCTGACGCAGTCCAAAAGCGAATTCGGAGTTTTCTTGGGACCCGCACCCCTGCCTGACAAGATGTCAGGGTCGCGCTTGTTGCGAGGTACCTCTAAGTCCAATTTGGCCCAGGGGCCTCGGAGGCGTTGGTCAGGAAAGGTGCGGTCGCCAAATGGTGGCCGGGATCCACTAATATCCCAAAGGCTGACGCCCAAACCAGCGTAGGCCTTCTCCTCTACAACAACGTTGCTCTTCCCACACTGAGCTACATAGCTCAACTCTTCCCTATGGACCGAACGGCCCTACTGAAAGAGAAGCTCGCCAGCCCCCATAACACATGTTGCAAGGCAAAAGTATGTTGTTTTTCTGGCCACGGGCTCGCCTCTTCCTCGTCAGCGCTCCTAACGGGGGTGGTGAGCATGCGGCACTGCTCCACTCACCATCACTGACTGGCGCTCCGGGCAAGGAACGGCGGCACAGACGCTCTCTGTGGTCGCGTGGATCCGAGAGAGTGGAACGCCCATTGCTGGGTACAGAAGCATGGCATTGCCCAGCGTTTTGCATCTCTCGCGCAGGCGCCCCCAAGGCGCGGCATCCCAATCCAGACCTGGCGAGCTGCCCAATCCGCGGGCAGAATGGAGGTGGCGGCAGCAAATGCAACTACCAAGAAGCCCAAGCTGCAGAGGGCACTCGCCACTTTCGTGCGCGTCAATATTTATCCTGGCACATTCGACATCATTCTCTCCAAGCGCCTCCACGCACGGAGGCTCTTTGCTTCAGTGGTCGGGACGGTGGGCGAGCGGTGGGGGAAGCGCCTGTCGGCATGAAGAAAATCAAGCCCGCGTGGCAGTGGCCAATCTTTAAGACTCTTGCTGGCGGATGGACAACGAACCAGCGTATGCACGTCAGCGGGGTAGTCGATTGACTCTCTGGCTGCCCACTGTCTGATGATATTTCTCGCTACCTCACCTGTCCCGCGCTGCGCTCCCGTCTTGGCCTCCCCTCCCATCCGCTATAGCCTTTCTCGGCATCGGAGCCGACAGCGACTACAACTGTGCGAGCTGCCCGTTCTCGCGTACTGGCGCGTTGCGACTGACCGTGATCGCCTTCCATACGCACCATCAGGGAAGAAACTGCGGTGACCCATGGGGACCAGCTGACGGCTGACCAACCGCGAGCCGCCGTTGACGCAGCCCTGCACGCCACTGATCACTAAGCGGCAGGCAGTGCAACAAATTAACCCTCCCCAGCTACGGTCAATCATCATCACCACCATCAGTATCATCATAACCATCATCATCATCATCATCATCATCATCATCAGCATCAGCATCAGCATCAGCATCATCAGCATCATCAGCATCATCATCAGCATCATCATCATCATCATCATCATCATCATCATCATCATCATCTCGTCGGCATCATCATCGTCATCATCATCACCAACCTCATCGCCGCTGGCATCATCATCATCATTATCATCATCATCATCATCATCATCATCATCATCATCATCATCATCATCATCACCACCATCATTATCATCATCATCATGGTCATTCCTCCTCTTCCTCTGCAAGTGGTGCTGTCAGACGCGTGCGCTGTAGACTCTCCCTCTCGTTCTGCAGGTACGGGCTCGGCACGCCCGGCGAGGAGCACCGGCACGTGCAGGCCAAGACGGCCGCGATGATGGGCGTTCCCAAGGACATCCTTCTGCCCCCTCCTCCTGCAAAGCCTCACCCTCGAGGGCCGAAATCGGTTTCGGCAGTTGTTACCGCGTCGACAACCAAGCCTCCCCTTTTCTCGTCCAGCCACCCCCCGTTCGCAACTGCAGCCCCGCCGCCGCTCGCTGCCGCCGCAAGCTCGTTGTCGTCAACGTCGACAGCTCATCAGCATCAGCATCAGCATCAGCATCAGCATCAGCATCAGCAGCAGCAGCATCATCATCATCATCATCATCATCATCATCATCATCATCATTATCATTATCATTATCATTATCATCATCAATCATCATCGTCATCGTCATCGTCATCGTCATTATCGTCATCCGAATCATTTTCAGCATCATTATCATCATCATCAACAAGAACAGAACCACCACCATCACCATCATCATCACCATCATCACCATCATCACCGTCATCAGCTCCGGAGCGTCGTCTTGCAGGACGTCTTCAACGCGGAGCCGGCTATCACGCTCATTCTCTTCGTGCACTGGGGGAACGCGTGCAACACGTTCTGGCAGAAGGTCGGGGACGAGTGGAGGCGCATCCTGAGCTGGCGGGGAGGGGGCGCTGGGTCGCGGCTGATGCAGCTCGCCTTCCTTTTCCACGCCGCGCGCATGGTGCGCGACGTCTTCGCGGCCCACAGGCCCGGCGACACAGGGAGCTGCCCTCGCGGCCACAGACATCGCAGACGATTGGTACTCCAGATTTCGTAATAAAAGGGAGGGGGTCTGGACCCTCCAAGACAAGCCATTTCAGACCTCCCCCGTGGGAGAACCCTCCAAAACATCGCCCCCAGACCCCCCAGGCCCGCCAAGATAGCCTGGAAGAGACCCCCACCCGACATGAGACCCCCCTCCCTTTGTTACGAAATCTGGAGCACTTGGCTGGGGCAGCCTCGTCGATCGTGCAAGTGTGGCCACGGCTGAGGTCAGCCACGGCCGCCGGCGGCCACCCGCTTGCCGAGTCTGCGTGCGGCTGTGGGCTCCCGCGCCTCGGCAGGGGCAGGGGCGAGGCAGGCAGCGCGACTGCCCTGCTGGAAGAGACGACGAGGCGGTCCTCCTCCTCCTCCTCCTCCTCCTCCTCCTCCTCCTCCTCCTCCTCCTCCTCCTCCTCCTCCCCCATCCTCCTCCTCCTCCTCCTCCTCCTCCTCCTCCTCCTCCTCCCCCATCCTCCCCCTCGGTCGTGCTGGAGAGACTGCTCTGAGCACGGCGCTGGTGGGGGACAACGCCCTGGACATAGACGCGGAGCGGTGCGGCATCGGGCCGGCGGAGGGCAGGGCTGCCGGGGCCGCGCGGCGGTGCGAGGGGCGCCGGGCGTTCGTGGGGTCTCGCACGCACGACGGCATGCGGCAGGCCGCCTGGGCGATCTCAGTTCCGGAGGGGGAAAAACACACAGACACAATGAATCCTCGATCCCCCCCCCAAAAAAATGGGAAAATGTGGGAAGTGGGGGGGGAAGACAAAAACCCAGAACATATGAGAAAGTATGGGGAATCTGTTTATTTGTGTGTATTTGTTTGTGTGTTCCAGTTCCCCTTCATCAGTGCTCGGCATTCCCATCTTCTGGACTACGACATTCGCGTGTGCCCCCCGCGGGCCCCATCGGCTCAGGTATTGGGACAGTTCCGCGATGCGATCGCGAGCGCTGCTGCGGGAATCCTTGGCACGACGCCCTCGGCGGCGATGAAATAGCAGCTCGCGCTCCCCGTCTGCTTCGGGGCCTTTGCCTCGAACATGCCTCGCGTCGACGACGCCGCAGCCGGCTTCTGGAGCAGCCGGATTGCAACCGCATTTGATGCTCAGCACGTCGCCTTGCTGGCCGGGCGCTGCCGTTCCAGGTGGGCCCGGACAGGCCCGCCGCGCTCGAGGCGAAGGACGTGTTCGCCGCGAGCGGAGCGGCGTGGTGGTGAATGCCGGCCAGATCGAGCTGGAGCCGGGGGCGGCGGCAAGGTACGCCGAGAGTCTGCACGGAGAGGGGACTTGCCCGTCCAGGAGCTGTTCACTCCTGCCCACGACGCGGAGGGTGCGCAGGCGCATGCCCTGGGCCCCGACCGCTCCGTCCCCGCCAGTTTCGTTC